GAGCACAGCAGGTAGTAGGGCGCACATGCGCAGATACCCACATTTTCAAAATGAGTAAAAGTTTAGTGGTGAGAGCGGAGAGGTGAAAAAGCCCTAGCGCCCTTGTCATATTATAAGCCGGAGGAACGGGACGTGAACCGTAGCGGACGGCCACATCCTATTCACCGGAAGATTAATCCACCGAAACTCATCATGGGTTGCTTTTGAATCAGTCGCGGAGCTAAGTCACCAACCCGGAGGAGGATTTCAATTGAAAGTTCTCCACAAACGAGATTGAAAGTTCATTAAAGCGCTCACAAAAATGGCTCAGTTTCTTGTTGCAAGCATAGGTTTTCCACAGTTCCGAACGATATCAATTTATGAGTGGTGCTAGAAAGTCAGCTCTCAGCGGAAATGAGCACTCACTCAAGTCCAAATTTCAGCACAATAGCAGCATGGATTAAGCTACCAGACGAGATGGGTGAGACGTATTTTATAATTTTGAGAGAGGATGGAAATCTGCAGAATGAGTTGGACTTTGGGAAAAGACGCCAGCAGGGTTTCTTTCAAGAAATCCTTCGAAGGAACTTCCTTTCAAGAAGTTGCGAAGTTTTGAGAATTCTTCCCACCCCTCCCTTTCGATCCACTTTCCAGTTTCTGAAGAAGGGAATTTGTTAGTGACACTCTTGATACCATTGAAGGTCAGGGAGGGGATATGAATTCCAATCGCTCACAGTCTCGGTTTATCCCAACTTTGACCGATGAAGCTCTCTCAACGGGAGCGCGATAGCTACAAATATTATATCTCACCCTTCTTCATATTTTTATATAGTTTCCCGATGATCCCAGTTATGTTGGCTCTCTACTTCAAATCACAGTGCACATTCAAGAAGGTCTGAGTAAGTGCAAGACCCACCTCTGCTTTGGCCGCATTCCAGTTGACAATTGAGCCAAACGCAATGTATATCGTTCCTTTTCGATTTGGAATCCTCCACAAAACTTCTTAAGTCTAATGGAAGCTCGTTAGATCCTGAAATTCACAATGTTTTCAAGGTGAAAACTTCATTTTGAGAACAAAGAGAGAAAATCGTAAGAAACCTTGACAGTATTCGCCAACGTGAATCAAGTCAGTCCCCGTCGAACAGACGTAACCGTAACGCGCAGGGAAGTCGGTTAAGGAGACACGAGAAGCCTTGAAGTTTTCTTTATCAATAAATTCTGGTTTATTGGTCCATTCAGTGGCCATATTGGGTTGTCCCATAATTTCTGGCCGATTTTGGTTCAAATTCAATTTTCTTCATGTCAAATTAGCTTCATAATGAAATAAGTTGATATGTTGAAGAACACATCAGGACCTTCAGCCAGGATGTTCAGAAGTTCAATGAACCAAAGATGGTGGTTATATGATCAATTGTTTTTTAGGAAAGATAAAACTTGAAGAAATCAAGGTGTCGAAATTCGGCCAGAAATTATGGGACGACCCTAATATTTGGAAACTGTACCCTTAGCCGAAAACGCGAATCGAACCTCGAAAATGGTCTCGTAGGAATTTTGGACGTTGAGCAGTTCTCCAGCTTTCCTAAGCCATCGGTTAGATGCCACTCCGATGTAGTACTGAAATAATTTCTTGTAAGTCAGCTACACTTTCAGGTATCTGCTACAACAACCTGCTCGAATATTGCATCCCTTATAGAGTACAGTCGTGGAAAGAAGTTCAACACATCGTACGTCATCATATGGTAGCCTTTTGTGTAGTAGCTGAATTCACAGAATCGAAATATGTTTCTTGTCAAGTAGCGAGCTAAGGCCGATGTCAGACTTTGCGAATCGCGCGATTCGCTAGCGTCTGCGGTCGCGTCGCGGCCAGTGAATCACTCAATTGGCTGGTACCGCAACGCGACCGCGGACGCTAGCGAATCGCGCGAATCGCGCGATTCGCAAAGTCTGACATCGGCCTAAATTAG